ACATTCTGTGATTCTGTGATTCTGTGATCTATTTTCAAAAATAAAGGGATTTCTCCATGTTTTCTAATACCAGTAAGTCATAAGATGTGTTAATCTTATGTAAGACCTGCTTGGATGCAGATTTACATGGAAATAATTTAAAGTGTTTCCATTACACCTTCTTCCAGTACAACAGTGACTCTTAGTTTGAATTAAATATTTCATAATGACAAACAATAAGTAATTTTCTGGTTTACTTTTGCTTGAACTCATTTCATTGAGCTTGAAAAAAATCCAAGATTTAGAAAGACTCTGCACACAAGACTTATGCAAACTAACATATACTGAAAATTAATTATGTTATTTCCATGACATTTGTGTGCAAATCAGCATTTACTTTCCATGGTGCTCAGTAATTGATTACAGGGGTTAAGCATGGCAAGTAGTGTCTACTTTGCCTTCATCCTAACAAATATAAATAGGAATTATTGTAATCCTTGCTATTGTATTAGATCATTTGCTAGAAACCTCATTTTACTATTTCTTAGGTCTTTTCTATGTACCATTTTTTCAGCAGTAGTTCAGAAAAATAGGTCAAAATTGTTAAGAGAAGATTCACAGGTGATAGGAAGATTTGTAGAAAAATACATAATAAGGAAGATAATATTATACTTGCTTTTCACCAAGTAATGTTCACGTTTCTCTGTGTCTCGATTAGGTGCTGAATTGTCTCTGAAATGTCGGGCCCGCCTGGGGATTAAGAAACAACCAATAGATGTTGTCACATGGGATGTGAATAACAACTCAGTGAAACGCTTAAATTTTTCAAGATTTCAGGAAAAAACTCGTTTGTAAGTACATGTAACAAAGAATAATCTTCCTTCTATGCAAACTGTGCCTATCTGTTAAAGCCAATGGTACTAGCTTTTTCTCTATTAGTTTTCAAGGACATGATCAAGCATATTACAGAGAGACCACTTTGCATATTGCTGAAATAAAAAAGGAGGATCTGAAGGCAAATTTCACATGTGTAGCAATGAATCAAATGGGCCACACAAAAGCCACAGTGACGTTACAACTCAAAGCACAATGCGAGGGTAGGACTTTTCATTTTGTTTTCTTACGCTTTGCTCCAGTTTGAAATATGTTGGAGATTTTATTTTATTCTTTGTTTCTGGTAATAAGAAAGTTTCTACTAGTAAGAAGAAAATTAAGCCTGCTTCCTCTGTGCATATTGAAGCCAGTGGCAAAATTCTCTTGGCTTCACAAGGTCATGAAAGTGCCTGGAGTAAACTCTATAGGGGGCGGGGAGGAAGCATTACTCAAACAGTATGAGCAAGAGATTAAATATGTGGAGCATAGCTGTATCAGCCCTGTGATAAGAATGTCCTGTTTCTAGAATATTTCTGCTCGGTGACAAATTCCCCTTTCCTCGAAGGCAAGCAGTGCACTCGGATTTGAAGAACGTTGGTGTAGTACAGTCTGCTCTACAAAATGCTGAGGGCATGGAGTAGCCTCTGCAGATGGGAGCCAGGCAAGGAACTGACCTCTACTTTGGTCACTGGTGTTACAATACATTGTGAGGAGCAGAGATTCATCTTCTTTTGAGAATTAAACTGTTGTTCCTAGTGTGGAACTATGGCAACATTAGACAAAGTTTAAAAACAGAAGTTTCAGCTGCCAGTTTGCTTGCCTTTCCTTCACATACTACTGTAGTGCCTTATGTTTTAACTGAGTGCTAAGTGGCTTGACTAACTTCTGCAACGTTTAGCGTTACCCTCTCTTCTTCTGAGTGCCACTGCGTTCACTGTGTGCCACGCAGAAGTATGAGTAATATTTCAAAGGCTTTCCCTCAGTTTTGTTTTTAAAGTCACAGTTCTAGTAATTTCTGACAGAAAAGGAAAATTCAGGGCAGAAAATGGTGGAGACTGGGATGGTCTTTAGTTCCTGAGTTAGATTCTTATGGCAGAAAATGCTATGGTGTCTGTGAAGGCACAATGGGAAGCTGTGGTCAATTGTTTCCTTTCCTATCCCTTCAGATATGCCGAACCACCAAGGACCTTGAGAAGAAATCCCAAGGCCTTTAACAGAGATTAGCTTTCTACAGGTCTTTTCCAACCTAAATGATTCTATGATTCTATGAAAGAGCAAAACTAAGGGTATTGTGATCACAGGGTGTGCACATCTCCATGTCCTGCAGTATGCTTGACTGTTTATAACTTCCTACAAGATCATAGCTTCAAAGCATAGGCATATTACTTTTCTACGGCCTAGACTAGAAAGGATGCATGTGAATTATAACAGAGGATGGGGTATCATCCAGCAGGACAGCACCTATTCTCCCCAGAGGAAAGTGACAAACTAGATGAAGAAAAGAGTACATCTTATATTCTGTACTCATCACGTGATTTATTGAATCTGATTTCTGTTGTAGACAAATCATATTTTGTTTTTTATCCATAGGTCTTCAGTAAATGTTCATGAAAGCACTTGGCTGTGGCCCTCATTTGCTGCTGCCTCTTTTGTGTGGATATGTGTCCCCTTCTCCTTGTTGCTGTTATTGTCAAGATGCCTGCTTCTGCTCCTCAGCACTGCTGGTGTAAGCAATGCTACATCCAGAAATGGTTGTGCTCTGCTTCAGTTTTCTTCACTCATTCCTCACACAGCTGAGCAATATTCAGGCTTAAACAATGACACCTTGCTTCTGAGTGTAATAAAAATTCTGTAGGGTTTGCTTCTGCCTCTCATCTTGTAAATGTGTAATAAAAATGTAAATGTGTACTCTCTTTCCTTTTTGTGTTTTGTATGTTTTTTTGTTTATTTTTAATGGGGAAAAACAGTTGAGTGGTGTTTTTTTTTAAATACGTGATCGTTCTTTAGTGTTTCCCATAGCACAACTTGTGTCTGCCACCTACTGCCTGTTAATGTTCTTTTTCCACAAGTTCCTGCTCTGTTTTCTGATTTTTTTTTTTTCCCAGGATGTTTGGTATGGGTTGCACACTTATTATTTGTAGCACAGATATGTGATGGGAAGTAAGAGATGAATAGGTGTTGTGCCACTTACTACTCAAATTAGTCAGTTTGAGGCGCATTTAATGAGCTGGGTAAGTAGTGTTTAGCAGCACAGGTGGTAGATTAAGGGAGGAAACAAAATGCTGTAAGTAATTGCATTAGAGATCCTCTGTGTAATTACTTGTTGAGTTTTACAGCGACAGTCTCTGTCTTCAAAAACTTGCTGAATTAATGCTTTGGCTCCCCATATGGAAATTTTCCCTGGGAACCAGGAATTAAATCGGATTTTTTGAGTCATAATCAAATACTTAAAGTCCTAGTTCACTATTAGCAATAGTATTATAATTAACCCTAAGAATTTACTTTGATAACAATTGTAATCCACATAAGATGAGAAAAGGAGGAGTTTCTTTCACAGTCAAGAGTGGTGAGAACTGTTTGGTTTTGTCCCTGTGGAAAACAAAAGAACATCTGCCAAGAACAAATGTCAGTGACAAAGCTGCTTGACATTTCACAGGGAAAAAAAGATATTTTCCACTTTAGGATATATACTGTGCACATGTATATGTATTCATGTGTTTATGTGAAGGAAAGAGTTGTATTGTGAAAAAAAGTGTCTGTCTCAAGTGTTAGTCCCAAATATCTTTTTGCTTATCTTTTTAAACAGCAAAAAAAATGCTGCAAAGAGAAGCTGATCATGAGCTACATGACTTAAGTACCACAGTTATCAGGAGTAATGCAATGCAGTCAGCTCCTTCTGCTGTGATTTGGTGGTGTACAGACTATGTGCACTATGTCTTATAGACACAGAAAAATCAGAAGAATTCTTTCTTTATTTTAACAGAAGAATTTAATGAGAATTTGGCTATGAATTTTGACAGTCTCTGCAGCTATGCTCTTGCCTCCATTATGAGGCGCTGATGTCCCTACATCTTTCAGCTGCTGCTGTGGTGACATTCAGAGGTGACTTCTCCTCCTGTGGAGAAAGACCTTCATCTGTTTTTTTTCTGTCGTTCACCCCCTGTATAGACTTTGATCACGCCCAGTTGATATGGAACTCATCCTTCCACACTATTTCCTACCCTTTCTCTCCCCTTTTTGCCTGAAATTTTTTGGTGTCTTCTGACTCCTTCACCAACATTTATTAGCACATTTTTCATGACTAATACGTCTTTACAGAGAACACAAGCTGCCTCATTTCCTCCAGATCTTTCAGTCCTATATCTCCCTTTTTGATTTCAGAGATGATGAGCATCTTAGATTTTACATTCCCTCTCTGCCACAAGACACATTCTCTCATGTGCTCTGAGATTATCTTCATAACTTGTTGTGTGATGGACCTCCATTCACTGTGAGACTAAGGAACTTGCAGCGACTTTTAATTTCTTTTTCTTCCACCTTTCATGACAAAGATGTAGCTAGTCTTGCTGGACATCTGGCAAGAGGCAGCAACTCTGCCTGCCAGGCTACTCTCATTTGCCCTCCACAGCTGCTTGGTGTATCTCTCAGGCTGGAAGATGCATCTCTCGGGAATGAGAAAACTAATTAGTTACACTGTTCACACCAGTTCAGGTCACTGGTAAGTGCAGTGGCTCAATGACCACAAAAGTAGCTCTACTGGCAGAGGGAGGGAAGCTGTTAGCTCCTGAGAGAGAAGCAATGCCAACTGTAATTGAAGAAACGCTGAAAGTCTTAACTCCTACCAGTAGAACTGGGTCAGGACAGGAGAGTCCCTTCATTATCATCTTTGATTGTCTGCTAAGGAATACACAGGCTGTTTGAGTATCTTCTCTTTCTGTTAATATATAAGCTGCCAATTGACGCAGCGCTGGTTAAACAACTGGAGGCGTCTTTTCATGTGTCTGATCCACAAGCCTCCTTTTATTCCTTCCCGAGCCTTATGCAGTTCTCACACACAAGGAAGTCTAAAATACCCAGAGGACCACAAGTCTTTCTGGTGTGAACTCTCTTTTCTGTGTAATGCCAGAAATTCTAGTCATTTAGAGCAGTGATAAAGCTTAGCCCAGAACATCAGCTCTGTTCTTCTTCAAAGATATTTAGTGTGGAACCTAACCTTTTGTCTCATCTTTGGTAAATGGATGGGACAGGATTTCCAAACCCTGATCTTTATTTTTACTGTCTGGAAGTGTGTTCACCTTAAAAGCCAGAGAGGTTACAAAAAACTGCTATTCTTCCAAAGTTTGTTTGTTGCTTTCTGACTTATTTTCTCTGGCCTCTCTGACACTGTTTCTCATGAGGTAATAGTTCTGTGTTCCCATTGCTCTTGAATATAAATAAATAGTATTAGAAGACAGTGTACTCATGAACTCTCTGCTGCTAAATGATCCAGGAAAGTCAAACGGAACGACCAGATCTGTCTAATCATTCAGGGCCTCCAAAAGTGGCTTCTGGCCCTTGCCTGCATTGTGTTGAAGACAGATGATTTATTCCAGAGAAATGAGAGACCGAGTCAACCTTACTGGGAACTGAACCTGCTCTTCCAGGAAGACCCCTGTGGGGTTCTTGTCTGATGCTTTGCAAGCACAGGAAATATGTTATTTCTCTTCCAGACTTGGTCTAATCAGTGTAAACTCAAATGTAAACAGTGAGGGGTTTAGCTTCACAATTGCAGAAGTTGTTGTTGGAATCTGTTTCTTCTCTAGATGTTTTATAGATGCGCAGTGTGTTAAACGTCATGGCAAGCACACAAATGAAGCAACAAGAAATTGTAGCAATCTCTGATGTTTGGGCCACCCTCACCAGGCAGTGGAAGGGGGTTCCTGATTTTGTCTCTATGTGTCTGTGTGTGTATTGACTAGTAAAATGAATCAAATCATAGACTTTGAAGGGACCCACAAAGACATCACATGACACTGTTAAAACTACAAAATGGCCAGATTTCACTATGAAAGAAACTTGTTGCTTTCTTGCCTACAGTTTTATTGGAAGGTGGCTTTCCCAAATCTCCTAGTTCTGGTTAGGCATGCTTCATCACATGTCCAATGTTTCTTTTTCCCTTTAAATGTCAAAGAAAGAAAAACAAATAGTGTAAAAATCAGGTTCAATTGACCTCACTTTCAACCAGAGGAAAGAGAAAATTTATTCGTAACCTCTTTATGTATCTTTCCAGTGGAATTTCTCAGGCACTAATATTTTTAGCTTGCCTCTCTAGGTACTACTCAATAAACCACCTTCTTCAATGTCTGGAGAAACCAGGGAAGCTGTCAATTTCCATAAAAGATACTCTTCACTACTGAATATTTTACCTTGCTTCATTCACTTAGTGCCAATCCAAGTGAAAGCTCTGCAATTACTCCTTAGTGATGAAAATTCCTTCACCTGGTAGCATACTGACTGACTGCACACAATCTGCTGTGGTTTCCAATCTCATGGAAGATTGGGCTCTTCAGCCCACTGTAAGATGCACCTCCTCAAGTGCCTGTGGATGTCCAGCTGCTCAGCCATTTGTCTTGAATGTGTTTCTGGAGATAGAATGAGAAAAAGCCTCGAACGGTCTGAGCCTTGTTCTGAATGCAGAAGGTTTGGATGGGTAGAGTTGCTACCAGTATGTATAATCACCTTCCATGGCTTGAGATGTTGTGAAAGGTCTTTGCAGTGGGGATGCCAGCATTGACCTTCATGTCTATATTGCCAGAATGCTTGAATTTAAATTCATATGTGGTCAACATTCAAAGGGATATTTCTTTCCTCAGCATTTTTTGGGGGATAAAAGCTCATTACTCAGTCCAACTCCTCTGGAGGTACGTTATTTAATCCAAATAATTTCAGTGGTCTAAATCACAGAAAAGTCCCCAACTACAGGGGATGAGTTGTCATGCTGGGCAGAAATAATTAGGTAAAGAAGGTGGACTGAGAATGGACGGCTCTTAATGGGTTTAGTTGTCAGAGAGAAAATGCACATAGAACTGCTCTGAGTCAACATGTTAAAACCAAGTGGTGTAGATTTAGGTATCTCTCATTTGATTAGGAGTAGATTTCTACTATGAGACAATTGCCATTAATCTTGCCTCCAAGGGAATAATGAATCCACTTTGTGTAACTGCCACTTAAAACTATTTTATTTTAAGACTTAGCTGTCTGGAATTCATGGTGTTTTCTTTACTGAATCCTGGGTGATTTCAATATGTCCAGGACATATTGACACAAAAGTATCTTCTTCAGCTTTGTGGCTGTAATAGTCTGTGTATTAAGCTTCCATCCTTCTAGACTGAGGAGAGTAAAAAATGACCTTTTTTTTTTTTACCTCATGTTTTCTCTTGCTGCAGCAGAACTAGATGCCATCTAGATGATGCACATATCTACAATGGCTGCTGCTCTGTGAGTCACAGAACAAAGAGGAGAACTCTCCTCTATAAAGGCAATAATCACAATCTTGTCCTAGACTACTTGTGTGCATAGGCTAGCTGTTCTCCTTATAGAACCACACAACTATTTGGTTTAGAAGAAACCTTTAGAGGTCATCTAGCCCAATCCCCCTGCAGTGAGCAGAGACATCTTTAACTAGATCAAGTTACCCAAAGCCCAGTCCAAAATGGCCTTGAATGTCTTCAGGAATGGAGCCTCCACCACCCCTCTGGGCAACCTGTTTTAATGTTTCAACACCCTCATTGTAAAAAATGTCTTCCTTATATCTAGCCTGAATCCGTTCTTGATAAGTCTTCATCTCTGAGGTGGAGGTGGTCAGATTCAAGCGCTCTTCCATAAGAGAAGCTTTAACTAAAGTGAGTGGCTCCTTTCTTTCCCAATTTTCCTTACTTGTCATTGCTATCTTATGGTCCTTGGTCTTCAAAGGAAAAGGCGAGGAAGAACACCATCTGCCTCCAGTATAGTTTATTTTATCTTTATGACAAGGACATGTACTGTTTTCCTGCCTGTTTTGTGTACTTTGTTCTTGTCCTCCAGATTTATTATGTGCATGTGTTTCTTTGTACCCTGTTTGTGCAACTACATCAGAAGCTTCCTCTTGTCCTTTAGTGGACACTCAGAGCTGTCACGCGTAGCCTTAGATGCCTCACAAAATGCTCGAAAGTTGTTGCTGGTTGTGTTCCTAACAGTTTTACAATGTTACAAAATACTTAAAAATCGTCTGTGGTATGTAGTGTATGTAGGTCTGGATTCAACAGAAGGAATTACTTGTTGTGTACTGTTTATTATGTTTCTGCAAGCTAGGGGAGAAGAAAGCTTTATTATCTCTGTTGAGAGCTCCTGCAACAAAAGTAATGATATGAGAGGCCGAGGCTTCAGCCAGTGGGTTAACTTCTCCTTGGCTAACAATATGTTTCTCTTCTTTGCAGTGTGTCTACCTAATATCCTCTTGATTGCAGGATCTCTAGTTCTGCTAGTTGCGATAGCAGTCTCTGTTATACTTTATCAGTCCTTTCGAGTTGATATCATCTTATTGTATCGGGAGATATTTCAGCCCTACTCAGTCAAAGACGGTAAGAATTGAACAAGAAAGTTTTAAGAAAGGAAAAAGGCAAATTGGGTGGAAATGCATTTATTTGATAGTTGCTTCCTAGGTCATGTGACACCTGAGTCTGATCCTTCACTTTCTTGTGCTTTCTGAAATCATTTTGATGAGAGGGGACCTACATAGCTCTGGTACTGCTTTACATTCCCTTGTTTCCTGTGTTCTGTAATCATGTGTTACACGAGAGGGATTCAGTCCTGGTTTTGTATTTTTTTAACAAAAACATTTGCCAGGAAACATTAAATGACAGTGGAAATCCAATTTACTAGTTAACTAATTTTTAGTTAATTTGCATTAACTAAAGCAAAGGAAACAGCCTGCTGGCTGATGTGGTAAGTTTTAGAGCAATACATTTTTTATAAGTCAGAGAGATAGGTACCAATATTGCAGAAGACTCTTTTTGGGAGAATACATCCCATCCAATTTTAGGGGTGGACTTCAGCTCAGGATTAAGACATCTAAATTTAGTTGCATGCAATGAAGGTCCACATGTGCAAGTTCTCATCATAGACATCTCTCATCTAGACAGCTGGGCCTGGGCTCAGTTGTCCAACCACAAACAATTAGTGCTATTGGAGATCCTTTAGCACTTAAGAGAGCCTGAGCCCCTCTGCAATGGCAGATGAAGGTTGGGCAGTACCTAATGAGGTTATACAGAACATGTTTTTAGGTGACCAAATCCAAATGCTAATCAGCTAAATCCACTGAGCTAATGAGACACTGGGACCTTGCATCAGTGATCTACACATAGATATCCAGAGTCGTTTGGGATGGACAAAAAACCAGACACATAACACAGATCTGCTGTGCATTGCAGACTTCTGGAGCAGTGTCTGGAGATCAGGCAGGGTGCTGTAGGAAGTCTCAAATGGCACTAGATACCTATTTTCAGGCAACTCACTTGGGGCTCTAGCATTTACATGAGAGTAATCTGAATCACACCAAGTGCAATGGACACCTCTCCACTGATTGTAGCAGCAGTTTAAACACAGCTTTCATGTGGATACCTGAATTTACATTTTTAAAATCTGAAACTTTATGATTAAATAAATCAGACTCTGGAAATAGCTATTTCTTGTTTATTGTAAAGGCTATCTGGGCAAGAACATCAGGTAGTAACAAAAGAAGGGATGTGATCATCTCCACTGGAACGAAAGAAATTAAACATTTGAGATTAGAAAACAAATGAGGAAGAGCAAAAGAAGTATTCGACTTTATACTTGGTCCTGACTGTAAGACTGAGTAACAAAGCTTTCCACCGATAAGTATCATATGTTGTGGGAACGAAGAGTAATTTTGTCAAGATGCAAGAATTTAAGTGGAGTGTCTTATCCTGAAAGACAAAGCCTGTTGACAGCCATTTTTATCACTGAAGTAACAAATGCTGAGCTCCACCTCTATTTCATCCTAATACGCATTTATCAATTGAATTCTTGCTCTATATGCTTTAGCGTATAGCTCTCACGATACAGAGGTAAAGTTCTTCAAAGTTGCAAACACACAGTGCATAATAAGTGAGCATGAAAAACACCAAATTTGCACAATTTCCCACTTGCAAATGTACCCAACGATATACCTTATTGAGATGAAGAGGAATTTCTGCTTAGATCTATTTCAAAGACAGATATTTTTATTTTTCTTCTAGTTTTTGCAATAGAGAGCTCTAATTCATGTTAACAGAATATACTTTCCTTTTGTTTTACCTTACAGATGGGAAGATTTATGATGCATATGTTATCTATCCCAAAAATCACACAAGTGAAGCTAATTTTGTGGAATATTTTGTTTACCAAATCATGCCAGATATTCTAGAAAGTAAATGTGGATACAAGCTGTGTATTTATGGGAGAGATATATATCCAGGAGAAGGTAAGTTGCAGAACAGATAATGCTCCAAATTACATGTCAAGCTTGAGCAAATGGTGATTCTAGCCCCTTTTAGAGGTTTAGGAGTGCCCTTTGCATCCCTGAGCTTGCTGCTCATCTCAGTATCTGTGTGACGCAGTGTGACGCAGCGGCATTCTGTGCTTGCCGATGTGTTAGGAAAAGCAAGCTACAGGACAGAGGCACAGATTGTTTACCATTTTCTTGGGTCATGCAGGAAATATGACCCCAAGTGTGACTCTTTTAAACATACACCTGATCTTTGGGTAGTGTAACTCTGCACAAAGCCGCAACCAAAATGTGTGTGAGCAGGTTTGCAAGGCACAGAAGAAGAGAAAACCACAACTAAGTTGAGGAATTAACCTTGCTGTTATCAGTCAAGGTTTTCAACATATTACAAGGATGTTAGGGACACAGGAAGATCAGTTTCTGACCTACTTTTCTTTTACTTTTGCACAACTTCACACAATTTACAGCACTAGTTCAGCAGAAAGTTTATATTATTTATCCCCACTTCCTCGTCTTCTGGAATGGAATTATGGTAATTAATCTGTGCTAATTTCCATATGGATGCCTCTACACTATCTCTTGTGATTGCTGTCATCTAGGTGCTATTTGCTTTCCTCCAGAGCTGACTTGTCTCTTTACCTTGTGCTCTGGTTATTCTGTGGACCAGATCCACTCCCTATCAGTAAGCAGACATGAAGCTACAGCTGACATATTCTCTGTTACACATTTCTGAAATCATCCGTACTGGGCCAGCTGCCATTCATCTGCCCAGAGCTGGGCTGAGATATTTGACATCCTCTTCTTCTGAAGAGTAGCAAAAGTGCTGCCTGGCCTTGGGAAAAGCCAATGTGTCAGGAATGTTAAAAAAACCACACCACAAGAGTTTCTGGGCCAAACCATTCCCAGATCTAGAACAAGGAACTAACAGTAGCTCACAAAACTGTTAATGGCACAAACATATGCCACATCTTCAGGTGATTAGGGACAGCACAATATTTTGTTGTGGGATGCTATTCTCAAACTGCAGTTTATGGATGGCAGTCCTGAAAAAAATTGATCATGGCATGCAACTGAGGTGAAGGCTAACTGAGGTGGGACTAACAAAGGCTCTAAATTGGATGAAAACAAAAACATTTTCACTTTATGAAGGCATGAACAGATGCCTGTAACCTGAGAGTGACAGACAGAAGACTCACCAAGCTAGCATTGGATAGGGAGCAACTTTTATTTGACTTACTTGATCTGATTTAATCAAAACTCTAAAAATGTCTGGACCATTGATGTTCCTTTTTCCCTCTTGCTTACTTTCCCAGACTTCTGCTTTTCTCTTCCTTGTCCACTTTCATGCTCCAAAATTCCTTCACTTGAGTGGAAAACTTCTGAATTTGCCTGCTGCAGGGAACACATAAAAGTTGTCTGCTTCCAGATGGTCGGACTTCACCCACATGCTCCCCACTCTTGTTTATCTTCTAACCTTTAATTACCAGATTTCAAAATCCAAAGCCTGATGTTTAAAATATGCTAAGAACAATAATACAGGAAATACCAGTTTGAGTTAGTGTGATCCTTTCTGAGCATGTATCATAGTGTTTAATGAATAATTTTTTCACTGTAAAACTCCATGTACTTCCAGAAAAAAAAAATAGTGAGGATATAAAATGCAATTATTATTTCAAGACATGCTTATGATTCTCAGTTCCCGAGCAAAGCTTGAAACTTGTTCTTCCAGTAAAAAGGAAAGTCAAACAGAATGATTCCAGTGCTAAACAGAATTGCACAGTTATGGGGTCTCATTATGCTTCCCTGAACTAGAATTCTTTTTGTTTCCTAGTCTTACTGATTAATGACATTTTCTACATCATAACAGTCGCCTGGAGAGACACCAAGTTATGGCACAAATCTGGTACAATCTGTATCTACTGAACTTGACCCTAGGTTGTCAGATTAGAAATTCCTAATACTTCTTAAGAGCAGTGAAAGTATTAGTGTTTCAACCAAAAAAGACATGTGAATGGAAAGCTTTGTGTTTTGATGTGTTCCTTTGGGGTTTGGGGGGCGGTGAAGGGAAGGATGTTGGTTTGTTTTGGTTTATTTCAAGCTTTTTTTCTAATGAATAAAGTGTACCAGACTGAAGTGATATAGAAGGTTTTTTGGTCAAAAAAGGGAGGAAAATGAAGTGCCTAAGCACTGGGACCAGTGTTATTTAACATCTTTGTCAGCATCATGGACAGTGGGATTGAGAGCACCTTCAGCAAGTTTGCCAATGACACCAAGCTGTGTGGTGCAATCAACACACTGGAGGGGAGGGATGCCATCCAGAGGGACCTTGACATGCTGGAGAGGCAGGCAAGTTCAACAAGGCCAAGTGCAAGGTACTGCACTTGGGTCCAGGCAACCCCAAGCACAAATACAGGCTGGGCAATGAGTGGATTGAGAGCAGCCCTGCAGAGAAGAACTTGGGAGTGCTGGTTGATGAGGTGGTCAGCAGAAGACCGCAATGTGCACTGTCAGCCCAAAAAGCCAACAGTATCCTGGGCTACATCAAGAGAAGTGTGGCCAGTAGGTCAAGGGAGGTGATCCTGCCCCTCTGCTCTGCTCTGATGAGACCCCACCTCAAGTACAGTATTCAGCTCCTGAGCACCCAACACAAGAAGGACATGGATCTATTGGAGCAGGTCCAGAGGAGGGCCATAAAGATGATCAGAGGGCTGGAACATCTCTCTTATGAGGAAACTCTGGGAAAGTTGGTTCTGTTCAGCCTGGTGAAGAGAGAGCTCCAGCGAGACCTTACAGTGGCCTTCTAATACCTGATGGGGGCCTACAGGAAAGCTAAAGAGAGACTTTTTGCAAGGGCATGTAGTGATATGATGAGGGGCAATGGTTTTAAACTGGGGCAGGGTAGATTTAGATTAGACATTAGGAAGAAGTTCTTTACTATGAAGGTGGTGAGACACTGGAACAGGTTGCCCAGAGAAGTTGAGGAAGCCCCCTCCCTGGCAGTGTTCAAAGCCAGGCTGGATGGGGCTTGGAACAACCTGGTCTTGTAGGAGGTGTCCCTGCCTGTGGCAGGGGTTTGGAAATAGATGATCTTTCTTTAAGGTCCCTTCCAACTCTAACCATTCTATGATATGATTCTATGACATAATACCATGTCATGATATGATAAATGACATATGACATATGACATATGACATATGACATACGACATATGATATATGATATGTGATATGTGATATGTGATATGTGATATGTGATATGTGATATGTGATATGATATGAACACAAAAGAATTAGAAAATACATTTCAGGGTCTCATCATTTTCTTGTACATTTTTAGATACAGCCAGTGCTATTGAGAAGCAGATGCAGAAGAGCAGACGGCTGATCATCCTTTTAACCAGTCAGCTGATTAATTGTAAAGAACACGCTTATGATCAGCATATTGCTTTGTATAACACTCTCATTCAAAATGATACAAAGGTGATCCTGCTGGAGATGGAGACAATTGGGACTTACGAGAAGCTTCAGGAATCTCTTAAGTTTATTATTAAGCAGCAAGGTACTGTCAAATGGAAAGAGAAACACACTGTGCACCCACAGTCATTCAACAATAAGTTCTGGAAACAGGTGAGGTACCATATGCCACCGAGACTCAAGTCCTCACACTCAGCTAATGTTGGGTGAACAGTCTATGAAAATCATGTTACATCACCAAGGATGGAAGAGGTCTGGGGAACAGAGGGAACTTTTTATAGGAATGAGAGTTCTGTAAATAAATCATTCTAGGCTGTGAGCAGAATTTTGCATATCACAGGAGACAAAATGTAACTATAGTCTTTCTATATAGAGTTGTCCATATAACTGATACAATTCTGAATAGCTAAACTCCCTTCAGATTTGCTTTACCTTTCTAATCGAGTTGATCAAATGTAAATGCCTTCTGTATTATTTGACTAGAAACAATATTGTATATTATGCAACTAGAAAGTAAAATGTGCTTCTGTTAATTTTTTCACCTCTTATACATTTTTGATTCAATAGTAATACTCATGACATGAAAAGTTATTTTTCCTGAATAGGTATCTCAGTAAAGCCTCCTTTAAGATCGCTGTGAATAAAGCATTAAAAAAAATGCAGTGCTAAGGGAAATAAATACACTGATGTATATTTATATGCACTTTTAATATATTATATATATTAAAATAAATGTCACACAATGGGGATATTTTAAATACTTCATATACAACAAATCATATTATTACTGTTGTTATTTTCTCCAGACAGAAATAATATTTTAAACTTTAGAGTGATTTTGTTACACTGATAGCATTCCTTTAGGCTACTGAAAAAAGAGACTGCAGTATGCAGTCTTTTTCCTCCTGATTTGGCCTTATGCCTGGTTATACTTTCTTCTGATAGGAAATATCCGGAGATGCAAAGGTCAGAAACAAGTCTTCTCCTAGTTCAGGGGAGTATGAACAAAACGTGTTCTAGTACAGTTATCCTTGTAAACTTTAATCTTCTTGGCTTCTCAAAACCAGAAATATTCTTTTTGTTGGAGAAGGCTTGGTTTTGAGTTTCAGGCTTGTTATGGAATGGATTAAAAAAGCAAAAATTAGATCCAGACTCCTTACTGTTACCAAAGTCCTTCCCTTTTGCTGCAAATTTTTGTTGAATGTTGATCTTCAGACTTATGGATGGCTACCTGGATTTAGAAAAATTTGTATGCAATATATGTATAGATTTTTTTCAACATTAAATTAAAAGATCTATGGCAAACTAAACAGTTTCTCACTGATGCGTTACATTTTCAAGTGCTCATGCACTCATTGCTCATTTCACCACAACTATAAAACATCTAATATTGCATTTTATTATTGCTTAGATTGTGTGCGGTGTTGGGTCTCATTCCTAAAGACCCTAGGTAAATCTCACTATCTCTGTGGAAACCCCACAAAATGAATTCATGTCAATGTCAGAGACTTGGTTTATTCCCACAGCACCGTTTCTTCCCGCACAAAGAATATTAATACTAAGGCAGGTGTAAACGTAGGAAAGCCTATTGTTTTACGCTATGACGATTTTTCACAACAGCTTCTGAGCAAGACAGAAAATTCACTTCCAAGATTATTACAATATAAATGTTTAATATAGTTTGAATCTTGGGCACTTAACAAGGAAGAAAGTGTGGTAACTGATTATCTTGGAAACAAAAAGTCTAGGATGAATTTTGAATCTGGAAAGGTTTAAGAAGAGAATGTACATAAAGGAAGTGCACAGGGTCAGCAATGAACTGAATTACTCTGAAGCTTCCTGATACCTCATTGACTTCTGTTAGCCAGGTATGTAGTTATGATGGTGAAAACCAAACTCATAAACTGACTCCCATAGTAACACTCGTTTTGTATCAAGTCTCATGGTCAACCAAGAGAAAAAGAGGAAAACAATATCAAGCAAAACCTAGCAATTCTTACTATGATTCACCAGCAGTGAACAGTAGGGCCTTGACAGGAATAAAAGGGGAAAATTCTGAGAGTGATAAAGAACTTTTACAGAATGGAGAGATGAGGATGTGACTGCAACTTTCACAACATTATTACAACATCAGCACCACTGAGGCCATACCTGCAGTCCCGCGTCCAGTTCTAGGCACCTCAGTAGAAGAGTGACATGAACATACTGGAAAGACTCCAACAAAGGGCTATGGAGTTGGTTAAGGGACTAAGGAGGATCTCTCCTATGAAGAAAAGCTGAGAGACATAGGACTCTTCAGCCTGGAGAAGAGAAGGCTCACATGTGAAGGGAAGGTGCAAAGAAGAGGGAATGAGGCTGTTCTCAGTGATGCCCAGTGACAGAACTGAAGGCGGTGAGCACAAACTGAAACACGGGAGGTGCCCTCTGAACATCAGGAAATACTTTTTTTTTAAGGTGAGGGTGACCCAGCACTGGCACAGGTTGCCTAGGGAGGTTGTGGAATGTACTTCATTAGAGATATTCAAAAGCCACTAGGATACAGTTCTGGCCAGCTGGTCTAGGTGACTCTGCTTGAGCAGGTGGGTTGGATTCAGTGACTACCAGAGGTACCTACCAGCCTCAACCATTCTGTGATTTTGTGATACGCGACTTACAAAGAATTTAAATTTTCAAGGGCATGTTTTAAAAGAAAATTGGCACTAGGCTGTCTGCTTTAGTGGAATAACAGAAGCACAATCTGCCCTGAGCAAAAAATCTTTCCCCACAGAAAGCTCGTATAAGAACCAGTTCAGATGATTAAAGCTTAAACTACACCGAACAAAGGTAATTTTATTGCTGAATTAGAAGTTTCATTAAGACATTTTGTACACTTTTAAGTTCTGCCCTGTGCTTACCTGGCTTTGGTACCTCAAGTGACTCCGGAGAACAATTAGCTGGTAATAGAGCAAATTAACACAGCAGAACCATTATGCCATCTAGTGGATGAGCAGGCACTGGCCGGTTCTGACGACCATGAGAATTAAACACTGAAATTTTCAAGGGGCATGTAAGCTTCTGAACCCCACGCAGCATTACTTGTAAACAACAGCTCAGGATCTGCACTGAGACTACAGAGCTGACTCTCTTATAATAACGTATTTTGAAGGAACAGGTGCGCCTCCTCAACATACAACAACAATCATAGATTTTTATGTCCCCAGTTATAAAATTTTATCTATGGATACTTCATATCTGAAAACTATACACTGCATTGCTGGCAATAAAGAAATAACAAAGGAATAAGAATAAACATTGACTTAACTAACACTAATGTCATTGGTGAAGCTCCTGGTGACTTCCAATGTATGAAAACCAGCTCCTGCTAATATGAAGTAGGATAATTGCAGACAGCACATAGAATGTATTGCCCTTCCCACATATAGTTTAATATACACCAATCTTTTGTGTAAACAGATGCAATAGTTTGGCCTTGAGATTTCCTGTACTGCTGAGATTTGATGTTCCTACAGCTCACTGAACCATCACCCTTGTTAGCTTCTTCACCTAAATCACAGTCCTGACAAGCCAGCCCAGTTATTGCTCCTGCCACATGGCTGTGAAGCCCCAAATAATGACAACTAGAATGAAGTTTTATAGCAAGCTATTATTGGTAGTGCATGCAGCATTAAATTCTTACAGCATTCTACAAAGATATGTTTGGAAGCTAATAAGTAAAATTGATAGTGTATTCTTTTGAAAAGTTGTACATGTACAATTGTATGTTTCTGAATCTTTGAAGGATTGCAAACCTATAGCTGTTATATTAGAAATACGAGTTCATGTGTTCCCTTTTCCCACTTCAAGGTGAAAGCTACATGCTTAATTTTATATGAAAGATGGATTTTTTTGTTCACTAAGGTGAACAGGAGTCAACAATGTTTCTTATGACAATGGCAGCCAACTCCTCTCCGCACCTTTCAAGTGAGAGTCTACCTGAGGAAAGTAATTATTTCCCTGTGTTCAGCATTTTTGACAGCTGAAGTTTTGGGCTTCCCAAGTGAGGCACTGACTTACTAGAATGAGTCCAGGGAAAGACCACCAAGAGTACAGGACATACAAGGAGAGGACAAGAAGTCTTTGTGTACAAGAATCTAATGGAAAGATAGTGTGAATAGATGGACTGAGACTCTTCTTAAAGGATCACAGAGATGGGACAAAAAAGCAACTGGCACAAATCAGAACATGGGAAGTTTAAACTACATGTCAGGGGAAAAAAAATAAATTCGTGGTCAAATGCTGGAAATTGTGTCCAGAGAAGCTGTGGGATCTCCATCCTTGGAGGTGTTTGGATCTCAGTTGTACATGCCCTGAGCAGGGACTGGACCTGACAACCTCCAGAGGTCCTCTCTACTCTGAATTATTCTGTGATCCCATGATGTGGAGGGACGTTTTAAAACGTATGACATATTTTAAAACTTCTGAGAAACATATCAGGTTCTAACAGATATGTTATCAGTCTGTAAACTGCTTTTTCACATAAGGGACAGAAAATACTGAAAATGCCATGGAGTACAACTTAACCTCTGCAAAAAATTAATATAACTGGTATACAGTTATATTATACAGCAATAACAGAGGCAAATTGAAAAGGACTGTTACCAGCTATAAACAAACAGGCTTAGGCTGTGGTTACATGAGTTGGATGTGTTGCTATTTATGAAGGAAGTAGATTCACAATTTAGGTTTTTAGTTAGCACTTCTGTGTAGTGTATGTTGGATGGAAAGGCAGATGTTAAAAACCTGTGAGTAACTGGTCTTCTCTAGTTGATTGGCCATGTAGTCAGAGCTTCATACAAAAATGTTTTTCAATATCAGTGCAAACTTTCATTTTCATCATAGTATTTTCACAATGAAAATTTGAGCTGTGGTTATTTTCATAAATTTCTTCTCTATTATGAGGCTGAATTCTCCATTGAATCTCTATTAGACTAGGGGCTAAAATGTGTAAACTTTATTTTCCTTTCATATGCATTCACATATCTCACAGCTAGCTGTGACATTAGTTGAAAGGACTAATTGAACACAGTAGTTTCCACAACACAGATGAAACTTCAGAAACTTGAGAGCACTTCAAAATTATGTGAAGGTAAATACATGTCAGAACAGCCCATGGAAAATGTTGTTTTAAAAGACTGAATTTAAAAAAAGAGTTTCCAAATTGTCACTATCAAGATAGTCTTAGGCTATCAAAGTAAAAAGCTGGTGACATTTACTTTACTATTTTATTTGTTGGCTGCTAAATTTCTTTCAGACTCTCATGTAAAATTATTATCTTCTTTAAGATATATGCTTTCCATTAAGTTTTAAAATCAAGCACTGAATCATAAACCCCAAACTACCATGAAATATCCTATACACTTTTTTAATGTAGCTATACTGCATTAGATTCTTAGCTGGCTTTCCTGAAGTTACGCTGATTTACATTAGCTAATGATCTGATTACTTTTATGTACTTTCAGTCTCTCCAGGGTTTCCTTGCTTCACCTCAGCAGTAAAGTACACAAAAAAGGGCCAACTTTGTGGAATCCCTCCTATTTTATTGCGACCTGGTCTTTTTACCTCTGAAGTGACACCTCCTGTTACCATTGGGAATGTCTACATTCCCAGGTGTCCTGGGTAAAAAAACTGACACCAGTCAGTTTCTGAACATGAAAAGAGTGATATGAAAATAAAAACAATCTTGAGGAGATGATTTTTCTCCTGCTGCTATCAAAATAACTTTATTTAAAAGTATAGTGAATCATTGCACTGTACATATCAGATAAACCACTTATGAAATAAACAAGCATTCATTTACTCAGGAACAGTGCTTAAATAGGAAATAAGTCTGTTAGAAATCCTGAACGGAACTACAGTTCCAATATATCAACATTTGGCTAAGAAGCAGGCTCATCTATGGGCATGAGGGTTTATTTGGAGGTGAATACATACAATCTCTTTGCAGTGATGGGGCTACAAAATGTTTCAGGTCTTGAAAGCTTGCATTACTCTTCCCTCAAAGGGGATGTTATCATAGAAGAAATATGACTCAAACCAAGTCAATTTTAATCAAAGTCTTGTAGCATCACACATTCCCTTGTCTTTTCTCCTGCAGACCATATTTTTGTAATGATTTTGAGTGTTTGTCTTTCTTTTCTTCTCCTTTTTTTTCTCTTCCTTTTAATTCTGAGGTCCGCAGAATACCAGACTTTCAGGATACAGTTCATCTTTTTGCACCCTCATTCTCAAAAGGGCCAGCGAGACGGGGAGGAAACTGTAGCAGAGACTAATGTTGCTACATTTCGCTTAATACGCGCGCTCCTAAACTGCCATCCCGCTTCCATCACACTTCCTGGCAAAAAGATCCTGCAATGGGCATTCAGCAGAAAAGCGGAGGAAGAGGTGTTTCGACTAAAGATGGCCAAAGACATCCCCTCCTAACCTTTTTTTTTTTTTTTAATTCCTCGCGGAAGTTGGTGACACGGATCAGCCTCGTCCGCTAAAAAAAAAAAGTTGATCTTCGCTCCCTCTGCTCGCGGCATGAGGAGGGGGCACCGCTGGGTTTCACCCAGATCGGGTGAAGCGCCCAGCACCCTCGGGTAGCCTGGTGACACTTGAGTCTGCCTCCTCCGCCCTTCTTTCCAGCGAAACCGGGAAGCGGCCCCGGGACTCCCGCCCGGGCCCCCGCAGCCCGGCACGGGAAGGGGCGGTGCGGAGCTCCCGTCGGGGCCGCTGGGCACAGGTAGGAGGGCAGGGGAAGGGGCA